AGCTTTCGAACTTTAAAACTAATAATACGGTCTTGAACTTCCATAGATTGTTCACATAACCATCAACGATTTACTCGTATAAAGAATGCCTCGTGAAATTCCTCTTGTGGAATTTTTGCATAAAAAAAAAAGCGGAGAAAGCCTGCTGACACCATCACACACGGACACCTAAACTTCACTTGCAAGAAAAGCATATGTTATATTAATATGTATGTTTCGATGTAATTATACTTTTTATTCATTGCTCGATCTATTTTATCTTCTGCATCTTGTATCAAGGACCAATGTCCAACTCAAAGAAATGATTTTGAGTTGAGATGGATTGATTAGTTTAACAGATTACTTTTTTTTTTTTTTTTGCAACCACTTGTAATAGTTCACTTTCAAAAGTCCTATTCATATTTAGTATATTTCCTGCGTCCTTCACCGCACTGCTCTCTGCTTGTTATCTGACTGGCGTTTATTTGGATTGGAAGCTGATGGGGCATAAATGATATCCGAAAAGTTACAAGTGCACAACCAATCAATTTATAGTATAAAAAATTATCGATCGCATGAGAAAGGTGTTTGTAAGAGAATATTAAAATCGGTTCTTATGTTGTGTGTGTGACAATTAGGAGTGATGAATGTGTTTCCTGAGAGATAGAGAGAGTGTGAGTGGTTGTGTGCAAAAAATACGATTGAGAGTGGATATAGTAAAGAATAAATGTAAGAAAAGAAAGAAATATGAAGGAAATAAAATCAAGAAACAAATAAGAGAAAAATCAAGAAACATATAAGAGAAAAATCAAGAATTAAAGAAAAAAAATTAAGAAAGGAAGAGATGGAAGATTCAATTAAAGATATGAGGAATCTAGAATTGAATCCACGAGCTAGTCTCACTTATAAAATATGAATCATTCTCTTTTTATCACATTCTACTTTAGATTTATTAAGTATAGATTATCAAACCATTCAAGGAAAGTATAACCTATCAAATTATCATCTTAAGTAAAATTATTACTCATGAAAAGAATAACAACTAAATAGTAATTCTAGAATTCCTTCTACCAATTAGTTCTTTAGTTGAATATCCTAAGCATAAACATTTTAAGCATAAGAGAATGATTAACAAATTATAAAAGAAATAAAGCTAGTTTCATGCAATTTCTAGAGTTCCTACAAGTATTAATTCCACACCTAAAGAAAAAGCAATTCCCTAGAGGGTTCTAGCCTCAAGGCGAATCAAAAAAAATAAAAAATAAACAAAAAGAAAAACTAATCCCAAGAGGGTTCTAGCCTCAAGACGAATAACACAAGAAAATAAATTCTAAACTACAAAATAAATTCTAAGAACTAAACTACAAAATAAATTGCAAGAAATAAATACGAGAATTTAAAGCAAGAAAAAAAAGACATAAAAGTAAATCTATTCTATAAGTATGAAATAAATCTAAGGCAAGAGGGTTCTAACCTCTTGGCTATTTAAACAAGAAAATAAAACAAAAAGAGAAAAATATTAACAAAGAAGAAATTTACATCCCAAGAGGGTTGTAGTCTCAAGGCGAAAGCAAACATCCATCTTGATCTTGATCTTCATCTCCATATTCATCTTCATCATCAAATAAAGAGAAGGGAAAAAAATATGAAGAGGTGAAAAATTCTTTTATTAATTGTAACAAGAAGTTACAAATTTGGAAGGTATTCTTATTTAAGGGTAACTCTTCTCTCCAAATGAAGTTATAAATTTTTTCACACCCTCAACCCCTCACTCTTCACCCCTATTTATAGTCTATAACAATGAATAAGAGCCCTTAGATCAAACTTGAGCCTCAAAGCCACTCAATTTTAGCCATTGAGCTTTTGGGCTTTGACTCTTGGGCTTTTTGCTTATTTTCTTCATTAATTTCTTGGGCTTTTGTTGTGAGATGAGATCTTTGACTTTTTGCTTTAATTATTCATTAACTCCTTGGGATTTTGTTGAGAGATAAAATCTTGGGCTTTTATTCTTCATTAACATGCAATTTAAGATTAAAAAAATTATTAATGGTATATTTATTCATGTAAAATAGATAATGAGGGCATAAAATTATAATAAAAATATGATTATCAGTAGCAGAAAGAAGTAAAGATGAACTGTCTCTTTGATTATAACAAGTCATGTTCAATGGTTAAGTATATGATCTAGTTGATGTGCAGTTAGAGCTAGAGATTAACTTTGTGATAGTGATCGACAGTCTCATTTACCAAGAAACTGCCACAGGTATATGACAAGAAAAATTAAATGAGGACGTATAGTCATTGCATCTGTGCGCTGTCTTTTCAGTTCTTTCTTTTTTCTTCTTTTTCCTTCCACAACATAAGATTTAATGTACCTTCTGCTCTGACCAGCTCCAATTGTACCTTTTGGCTGAAGTATTTCAATTGTTTTCTTCTTTATTGTTGTTGCATTTTATTTATTTTGAAGGGATTTTATTTCTTTTGCCTAAGTTTTCTAAAGTTGCATACTTATCAAAACACTCACAGGTCTGGCAACTATAATTTACTTTTTCTGGACAGAGTTTCTTGTCATCCAATTTACACTTTATTTACGATTCGGATCATCTCTGATACCAAAAAGTAGTAGAGAGACCACTACTATATCATAACTGTTGATTTATTTTGTGGGTAGTTGTGATTTGTGTTTGAGTGCTAATTAGGCAAGAGTGCACTTTGTGAGGGTATGAATCATAAGTCATAACCCCCAGAGACATATCAACGACCGCGATTAAATTAGTAGTCTCTCCACTACTCTTTTGGAAGCGGAGAGGATCCAAATCTGTGTATTTAGTTTCTTACATAATTTACTTTTCCCTCTAATTACATCTTTGTTAACTTCTATCTTTTGTATTTCCTTTAATTATTATATTTACTTCTTTATTTTCTCTTTTATAATCTATTTCTGTTATGTTGTGCATTTTAACTTTATTTAGCTTCAAAATAAGTTCCATGTTCTGCATATGAGTTCAGAATCTATTTGCACCTGCCGCCTCTACATCCTCATAACACACGATCCTGTTGTTATATCAATACAATGACACACTTGAATCACAGAGCAGTTGTGCAGCAGACTGCTTCTTGAAATTAAGATAATAAAACTTAGGTTTGAAATCCCAGTTTCATGGGGTGAATTGGGTTTGCTTTTTTTGGTATCTGTATGGGGAGTTTGTTGGAAGTGTTGGCAACAACTTTGAATCAGAATTACAAAAATTATGCACCAAATTAGTTTCATTTTCATAAGCGAAGATGATAAAGTTAATAATCTTTATATGAATAATTAGGAAACTTCTGGATAGCAGTAACTATGCATAAATTAATTTAGAGTTATTTCTTGTTAGTTGTTACTTATTCAACATATGCATAGAGTTCCAATGAACTTTATCTAGGATCCTACAAGTAGGATTTTTTTTGGATCCTCACAATCCAAAAGTATATGTCGTTAGAACATTCAATTTTAACCATCAATTTAAATATGATTTACTGTATATGATATATAAATGACTTGGAGACAAAAAACAAACAGTTTTAAGTTTTCTTACCCAGGATGAGCACCTTACAAAACTAGTCTCAAAAAGGCACGTTGAACAAAAGAAACATATTTTTGCACCTTCTAGGTAGAGGGTAAGGTTTTTGCTTTTAGGAACTCAGACGTCAAGGTAGTTGCTCTAGACTCTAGTTAAGAGAGAAGACAGGCTTCTTTCACAAATTTTTTAACACCAGTTTCTATAAGTGGATTATATTTATTTGTGGATTCTAAGCCATGAGTTTTGACCTTAAAAGACAATTATACCTCTTACAGTTTCACAAAATCTAAAGCTTATTTAATAACTGATCGTTAATCTCACGTCTTTTTTGGTCATTTTGACAACAATATGGATTATAATCCACCTATTTGCTGAATATTGTACTATTAAAAATGGATTATAATCCACTAAATTTACCAAACACTCTGGATTATTATCCAAGTGGATTAAAATCCAAAGTTCCCAAACATGCTCTAGGAACCATGCTGCAACATATTTTTAATGAGCGTTAAGGTATATATTCTGTATTTTGACTGGCACAGCCTCTGATTGAAACTTAACATAGTCTACGGCTTTGCATGACTAAACCTTAACGTTGAATTTTTGAATTCAAACTCTAGTATAAGTCTTGATATATAAGTGCAGAAATTCACAAGTCTATTTTGCTCTTTCCATGCTCGATGCTATCTATATGCTATATGGAAGCCGGTAAAGCAACACATTCATACATCAATATTCTCATCAATTTACTCTGAGCAAAAGTCAAATTACCATCACACTTTTGTGTTTGGTTAGAGGTTGTTTGAACAACTATGGAGTTGTAACATCATGTAGTTCCAACTCCTGATGTTGTTTCGCTCTTCAATTTCAACATAGGAGCAATACCTCTATTTTCAGCCTAGTCTGTTGCTGCCACAACCTCTTAGTGTTTAACATCGTCCAGCGACTCCAACCAAACATGCATGTCGAATTTTTTATGTAGTTGGAAAGACATAGTTCTCCAACTACCTATATCCAAACACACTTTTAGTGGTGTTCCCTTCAATATAACAATCTTATTGTTGAGGTTTCCCCATTACAGTTAGCGTTACCCAACATTAATCACAGCAGCTAGTCCAAGGGTGGGTTGTTAACCTCTGAAGACAACCAAAACACTTATTTCTAGCTGTCTTCGAAGTAGTTAGATACGACTGGATGTTGGTAAATGGGATAGGGAAAATGTAGAAATTTCTTTGCCATGTATACAAGTTCGAGCAGTGTAATGTCCGTAGCCTAAAAATGTACGCATATACATGGATGTAAAATAAATCTTATTGTAGCCTAAGCATTGTATAAGGAAGTGTCAGTCACATGATGTTCTTTAAGTAGTTACATAAAACAAAGATGTCGTTTTTTGGAAGTTGCCTGGGCGATAACCTGCTAAACCCCAATATTACCTATACATAGTTGGGCTCCCCAAACATCATGATACAACAAAAACATTCTTGAAATATCTTCCAATATGAACATATCTTCTAATATGAATTACATCGAAATGAAGGATCACTATAGAAAACATAACTTGAGCAATGAATTCCTAGAGACATGTAAAGCCTGAGTGAAGCTAATCCCTGAAGCTGTGCTTATTACATACAATTTATGAGTCAAGACATTAGGACCTTGAAGTTAAATCCATTAGCAACACGAATGATACATAACCTTCTAAAAATTTGTGATAAGCCTGTTCTGAGAGGATGCAAGCATGTTTGTGTTAATCCTGTTCTGAGATGATGGATAATTCACTGACTGATGAATCCATATAAAATTGTTCTGCAGGTGTTGACACTATTGAGGAAAAGAAAGGCTTTGGTGGCATTGGTAAGTTTTCAGCATCAGATTCCAGCATTTCTACAACTTTGCTCATTGAGGGACGGTTTTGTGGTTGCATTTGGATACACCATAACCCTACTTTACATAGCTGTCGTTCTACCTCATTAATCTCACCAAGAAGTTCTCTATCTGCTTCACCAATCTCAGTGATTTCACAAACTACAAGCTTCTCTCTTTGATCAATGCGATCATAAATCCATGAAGGATAGTAAATTTGGCTCGAGTCATCTGCCTGTAGATTCACATTCCTTCTTCCTCCTGCTATTTCCAGCAGTAACATTCCATAACTATATACATCAGATTTGTGAGATATAACCCCAAAATTTCTTGATATGAGTTCAGGGGCTATATACCCAATCGTTCCTCGGGCAACGCTGATAGATACTATGCTGTTTTCCTTTGGGTACAGCCTCGCTAGTCCAAAGTCTGAAACCTTTGGATTGAAGAATTCATCAAGAAGAATATTTTGAGGCTTGATGTCGAAATGTACAATCTTCATATCACAACCACGGTGTAAGTAATCTATTCCCTGAGCCACACCCAACGATATCTCCTTGCGCTCTTCCCAAGTAAAAGTATGTCGACTGGTTCCATTTGATGATGAAAATATGTACTTATCAAGTGACCCCTTAGGCATGTATTCATAAACCAAAGCCCTCTTTGATCCATCTGAACAATACCCAAGAAGTTGCACTATGTTTTTGTGGTGAATTCTACCAATCGTGGAGACCTCATTGATGAAGTCTTCACCATTGCAGTTTGAATTTCCCAACATCTTTACAGCGACCAACTGACCGTTGGGGAGTTTGCCTTTGAAGACGGAACCAAAGCCCCCTTGTCCTAATTTTTCTTTGAAGTGATTTGTTATTGTTGAAATCTCGGTATAAGCATATCTTGTTGGTGTCAATGGTTTCTGGGTTCGTAGAAATTTCTCAATAGCATTCACTGGTACAAGCATGTGGAAGTATTGGTACCTGATAAATACCCCCATACATATAGGAGCAAATATAAATCTTCCAACTAGTGTAAACACTGCAAAATGAAGTGAATAAGTAACGAGATAAACGCTATAGAATCTGATGCCAGGAAGAATGAAGTGTGATTCTTACGGAATAAGTTTAATGCCAAGATAAAGGCTATAGCAAGGGGAAGACCGCTTGGATCCTTGCTTTCATATACACACTCCACGAATCCAATCTCAAGAAGAATTATATAGACAATGGACTGATAAATGCCACCAGAATTAAAGACACTCGTGGATGCCCTACATGCATAAATTTCATAATCAGTTTCGCCTGCAAGGTCTTCTATTTTTATCATTTCATA